GTGCTATTAGGGCCAGAAGCTCCTTTAGAAACAGCGATGAAGCATGTAATACTACTAATGAATCCAATAACACTTGCAAAGAAAGCTAAAATTGCATCATGAAGAGTCATAGATGGATGATCTTACATCAAGTAAATTATCACAAGAACAAGTGAAAATATACCAGACTAAAATCCTGAGTCTATCTATCCTTGAAACGGATCAAGATTGTAGTTTTTCCAGCAAATTTTGCTTATGGTAACACGGCAAGAATTTTAGCATGCTACCATGATAGCGAAGATTACTCCCAAATACTTAAAATATTCCATCTCTTCCTATGAATATTGATTATCTTAAGATATTGTAGGATCCCCTTTTGCTAAAGATATCCAGATTATACCTATAATGACTATTATGATGCCTATAATTCTAGAAGCACCTAGTTTTTCCTTGAATAAAAGCCAACCAACCACAGTGTTCGATGCAGCAGCTAAAGTAAAAATACTAGTTAATATTCCTATATTGATTTGAGCCCTTTTTCCAAATTCTATAGTCTTAATTAAAATGTAGTAATTGCTAATGAAGAATATAGTTCTCAAAGTTGAAAGAATTGCTAATGTTCTATTAAATACTCCATTTTCATCCACATAAGATCTTAAAAATGCTTCTCTAAATTTTTTATGAATGTCTCCATCAGTCTTTCTAAAGACATAGATTTAACAGATTATTGAGAATAACAAACTTCCAGAGAATGAGAGATTGCTAGTAGCGAAATCTCTATTATCCATAAATGAATATACGAAGTTATATAACCCCCAAGTAAAAGCAGTAAAAATTGATAAGAACCAAAGTATTTTAGGAGGCTCCTTTATAGACTTCTAAATAGAATCTTGAGTTTGAACATCCAAAACAATTAGTGGCTGTAAGTCATCTTTTATTGGTGTTGTATTTAGAACTTGCAATTAGGTTTCTTGTTTATTGGTTGTCATTTAATATATAGTTATAACTTTGTTCATTGTACAACTTTAATTGATTAATTTTAGTTAGTAAATAAGGTTATGAAATAATCATTTTTGATAGAATTATAAATTAGGGAGGCTTATAGTTAAAATTAACGAAATTTCTCAATATTTGTGCAATGGGGTTTTGGGGTTTTGGGGTTTTGGGG